TTCCTTAAAATAGATCTAAGAATCGGTTATCATCAACTTCGAGCCCGAGAAGAGGACATTCCAAAAACTGCCTTCCGAACTCATCACGACCATTTCAAATTCATTGTGATACCCTTCGGTCTAACGAAGGCTCCCACGGTATTCATGAACCTTACGAACCAAGTTTCCCAACCATTCCTAGTTAGCCCTTTTACTATTTTCATCGATAACATACTCATTTGCTCACAAAGCGAGAGCGAAACACTATCATCATCTACGACCGGACTTGAAAGCATCAAAACTGGGAATGTCGCGATGAAAGCACTGCATGGGTGGATAAAACTCTCGAAGTCGAAAGACGAAGCTTTTTGTTATAAGAATTAAGCTGGGCGTTATTTGGGTGATCGTCGATAGGCTAACCCAATCTGCCCATTTCCTGCCAATACAAAAATCAAACAAGATGGAAGGATTAGCTTGGATCTATAACCAGGAGATCGTGAGACTCCATGAAATATCGGTATCTACTATCTTAGATCGAGATAACAGATTTCCTTTAAGATTATGGCAATCACTTCAAAAGGCTATAGGAACATAGCTAAGTATGAGCGTTGCTTATCGCCCTCAAACCAATAGTCAAAGAGAACGAACTATTCAACCACTCGAATTCATGCGACAAGTTTGAGTGTTTGAGTTCAACAAATCCGGGGATACCCGCTTGCCCTTGGTTGAATTCTCACGCAATGACAGATATCGCACGAGCATCAAGATTGCTCGTTTCGAAACCTTTTATAGTCATACATGCATATCACTCACCAGTGCTCTCATGAGACCAGAAACCATTTGCGAAACAACAGAGAAGATAATCCAAATCAAAGCCTGACTTCAAGCATCGCGAGACCGACAGAAGAGCTATTCCGGCAAGCGGCATAAGCCAATAGGGTGTCAAAGTCGGGGATCGCATGTCATTAAAGGAATCTCCTTGGAAATGAATGATTCTCCTTAGAAAACGAGCAAACCAAACCCACGATACGTCGGGTTGTACGAGATTCTTGCTCGGATTGGTCCAAAGACTTGCAAGCTGCAGCTACCTATAGAGCTCAGTAACGTACACCCTGTGCTCAGCGTCTCAGAGCTGAAAAAGTGCCTATCAGGCAAAACTCTTATCATTCCTTTGTGAGCGATCGAATTAAACAAGAATCTCATGTTCGTCGAAGAACCAGTCAATGTATTGGATAAGGAAGTAAAGCGTACAAAACAAAGCCGCATCCCGATTGTGAAGGATCAACGGAATGCAAAACGTAGGTTGGAATTCACAAGTGAATGTAAAGACTAGATTAAGCAAAAACACCCTCACCTATCCTCTCATTCATGAGCCTACCCTTCGAAAGAATTTCGGGAGGAAATTCCCTCTAACGGGGGGATGATGTCACAACTAGCATTTTTGCTAGGAAATTCTACCCTCATGCAATCATTCACCTAGTGTAATAACTTTTACTCTAAAGGAATATCATACTCCACTCTCATTCAAATATATCTCATATGTTTAAATAAGGGTTGGAAACCCTAGATATCCCGACTCAAGTTCATTATGGACTATGATTCTCTTATTGGACGTAATGGACCAATAAACCCTTAACTTAATTCTTTTAAGCTAAGAGTCTTAAGTTGGGCCTTATTTGAACTCACATTCATTAAGATATAGTATTTTGGGCCTTAATGGGCCTAGAATGACCCACACCTTTCTCATGGACCTATTGGGCCGAGAACTACCCTAAAGGCCCAATGGGCCGAAAATTTTCTTTATGGGCTTCATAATTTCGAACCAAAGAAAGAATTGGGCCAAGCTAATTCACCCTCCTTCCTCCTAGCCCAAAAATCTCGGCCCAAGATCAAATAAAAAAAAAAAAAAGGGAAATGTAATAAGAGTTGACTTAGGAGGTGCCACATCCCTAATGTCCAACATACATCCATGCAAGGACCCCCATACTTCCAAGCATGTCACCTCACCATCTCCCTCTCCATTCTCTCCATATTATCGGCCAACCCTCTCATCACCTTCATTTTTCATTCAAAAACTCTCTTAAACACTCTCAAATACCTCTTCCATCTTCCATCAAAAATCTCGAGTTGGTGTGTGCTTTCAAGAGGATTCTCCACCAAAAATCATCATCCTAGGTAAGTTTTTACTTATATCCATGGTTTAGCTTCTTGATTTCTTCAAAATCTCCTCTTAACCCTTCCATTTCGTGAATCATACATCCTAGAGCCATCTAAGTTGTAAAGCTCCTCAAGAAGCTTGCTAGGGCCAAAAACCTCTTCACATCTTCATCAAAAACCGAAACCTTCAAACAAGGTGAGCTTCATACCCCCTTATTTTTGGTTTTATAATTTTTTGTGGGGGAGAATACAAGCAAAGGTGTAGATCCATCATTATGTGTATGTTGTGGTTGATTTCTATGCTTATATGTATGTTTTGTATGATTTTGATGCTAGATCTAGTTATGAAATGCTAAAAACCGAGATATATTTTATACTAGCATAAAATATACTACCACATGCAAAGTATACCAAGAAAAATAGCCAAATGGCTTGACAACACTTATTTTGGGCTACAAACTCATTTTTTGACATAAAATGTTAAAAATACAAAGTTGAAGGGTCTAAAATGAAACATTTCGAAATCAGATGGGTGAGATGAGTCAAAACAGTTTCCATAAAGTATTTTCTGAAAATATACTATTTGGAGGATTAAAAACATAAATTCCAAGCTTAATGGGCTAAAACTGACAATTTCGGCCAAATAAGGCCCATTATGCGAAATTTTCTGTTTTGGAGGGCCAAAACTATGTTTTTCTTTAAAACAATGGACTACTAATGTTACAAGTACTTTTCAAAGGTTTAAAATTCTTTTCAAATATAAAAAGGACCAAAGTTGCAAAATTTTTCCAATTTGGGCCAAAAATGTAAAAATTGCGAAAAAGAGCGGTTATAACCGAGAAAATTGCAATTTCGGGGACCTACCGAAAATTATTTTACCTAAAGGGGTGAAAAAGTAAATTTACAAAATGAAGAGGGGTTGTAAACAGAAAATTTTCAATGATAATTCAATACACTCGTTGTGAACAAAGATTGACACTACGACTCTCGATAAATTACAATACACAATATCACCAACAATCGTTATCAAACGAATTGATTCGGTCTCGAATCGATAACAAATCCAAAACTACTAAAACTACAACGCTCAATACATATATGGAACTCTCGGAACTCTTTACTCTCGTGGAATTAGTCAATACGTCGACATACACTCCTTAGGCCCAAAAGTTGCAAATCATGCTTGCCGAGCCTAGCTAGCCCGATGACATGATCTTTAGGCCCAAAGGACACTTGCTTACATGTAGTTGGGTCTTGAACGACGCAGGGAAATACCGAGGGTTTCGCACCTTCTCTTCTTCCCTCCGGTCGTGGGACTACACAAGTCCGGGAGGATTGAGTTGTGTGAATAAGTGCAAGCGACTCCCAAGGGATCGCTGGTACGATTGTCGACTGTACGTTTTCATTAACGGACGTTACAATAATTCACCACCCACCATATACTCAATGCCTCCGGAGCTCAACGAATACCTCTAATGTAACGAAATAACAATACACAAACTAAGTAAAACAAAGTGATAGGAAAACGTCGGGTTTTCCTAGGGTTTTCAAGTAATACACTTACGAATACATGCCGAATTTTACAACTCGTACGCTTACATCTATAGAAAACAAACAAGCATACTTACGGATCTTCACACTTTTTACACCATACTATTTTCAGAAAATATCGGATTTTCTGGTGGTTTTCGAAACGATACAAACATTGGATTTCAAACATTACTTATGAACTCACCAACATTTCATATGTTGACGTTTTTCAAAATACTTGTATTCTCAGGTAACAGATAAGTCGAAGGGATAAGGGTACTCAGTGACGTTTTGCTGCTTGTTTAATTAGTACCGAAAATCTACTTTTTTTTGGGCATGTAATGTTAGGGAACAATGTACTAAATGTAAACGCTACCAGTTGTATTATTCCAATGCTTGGTGATGTATGATGTTATGTTTCAAGTATATTCATTGTGATGGTATTCAATTGAGTCACAACAGCCCCCGGACGTTTCCGCCGTCTGGTTCGGGGGTGTGACACATTTAAACAAAACCGTGGTTATAATTGGGTAACCAGCTAACTCGACTTCTAAAATTTCCTCTACCTTACCAGAATAATCACCTCCTTGGCTACTAACACTCAATCCGCTATTAGTTGTAGATTTGTTTAGACTATGCGTTTCTATGTGAAACTTGTAACCATTGACAAAGTACACACTATATGATTTCACATTTTTGAATGACATTTTGGAAAGGTTAGCTATATACTTGTTGTTTATCGGGATCTTACATGCCTATATGAAAAATGGTAAAGTATTTAATTACAGTTAATTATAACCATAAGAAAAAATATTAAATTTTAGAAAAATACAAAAATAACACCCACATAGTTTTGAAACCATACTGCAAAGTTCTTCTCAACTTCATCTGCAAGGACTTCTTCATCCAAATCCCCCATAAGTTCATTCAAATCTTCTTCAAATATTTTGTGTCACCATTTGAATAACATTTTAAAGTTACAATCAATGTTATAAACAAAATCATGCATGTAAATGTTATTCATAGCAATTACACAACAAATGATTATTATAATTAAAAGTGTTGCATATTTGTTACGTACCTGATGTGATGCTTGATCTTATCTTTGTTAAGGAGTGTGTAAGTTTAGGCTGCATGCACTTCCTTATCAAACATCATTCTATTCGTGAGTCTTCCATAATGACGCCCAAGGTATGAAAATATATCTAACATGTCCTTGTTAGCATCTGCTTGCTCATCTCCTCCTCCATCATCATTTGAGGCAACTTTCTATTACGTGTGGGGACACCAGTCTCGAAATAATGAAAGTAAAATGTTGATGTTTCACGTAGTAATTACGTGTTAACAACAGACTCTTCCACTCGAGCTTTATTTTTCACATCTTTTTTCAACTGATTTAGATTCCTATAGTGAAGATTATTTAAATTAGATTTCAAAAATAGCAACATACATTATGATGTATCATTCAAACCTTTCAAATGGATACACCTTGTTAAATCAACACACCTCCCCAAATTAGAAACATAACCATCGGGGGAACACAATTTCTCCACCCATTGGCATATGGATTTCTTTTGATTCTTGTCCAGAGCGTAGTATGCTCTTTCATTATCTTTGACTCCTTTTCTCTTCCAAAAATAAAGCTTCAGATCTCTTCTGGCTGCTACATTGTCCTTCGTCTTCCCTTTAACATCCATTACATTGTAAAAAAAAGTTTTCAAATAAAGTTTTCACAATATGCATAACATCAAAATTATGTCTAATGAGGTTTGTTTTCCAATATGGTAAATCCCAAAATATGCTTTTCTTTTTCTAACCATGATCACCACATCTTTTGTTTACATCATCAACATTTAGTTTAGTCACTTTTACCAAACCTAGTTGTTCAATCTCCCATAAGGTTTGTACACCATTCATACTTGGAGGAGGACCTTCTATCACTTTACGATTCTTCTTGAACTTATTTTTATCCTTTCTATATGGGTGACTTACCTGTAGAAATCTTCTATGGCAGTCAAACCATGACATCTTATTACCATTCTTTAGTCTGAATGCTTGCGTATGTTTCCCACAATGTGGATATGGTAGCTTACCTTATGTAGACCATCCAGATAGCATTGAATATGTTGGAAAATCGCTTATTGTCCACATAAAAGTTGCTCTTAGATGGATTTTTTTAAAGATATATCATATGTTATTACGCCTTCTTCCCATAAATGCTCCAACTCTGCAACAATCGGTTGCAAAAATACATTTATTTTATGCTTAGGGTTTGACGGTCCTGGCACAAGTGCGGTCAAAAACATGTAATGCCCTTTCATTCACATAGAAGGTGGAAAATTATAAGTGATGGGGTTTGAACATTCTAACACTCCTATGGTGTACATGCAACCCTAGAAACCTTAGATCTATGTTTTCTCTAATATACATGCAAATTTGTTTTTTCGAGGTTTACATCTTAAGTAGCATGTTATGGGGAACTTGAAATACAAAAATTAAGTAGAATAATATACCTTTTAGTAGATTGGATTCCTTCAAGACTTTGTGAGCCTAGCACCTCAAATGTGATGCCTCAAATGCTTCACACTACACCTTAACTTCTTGGAATAACTAGAGAATGAACACTTGTCTATGATTTTCGGCTAGCCCTCTCTTGTCTCTCTTAGTGGCCAAAAATGCTCCATAATGGGGTCCTTATATAGTGTGCCACATGTAGGGTTACACCATGTAAACCCTGATGTGCATGGTTTTTCATTTCCCATGATCCAAGGGTTTTAAGCTCCATGGAGGACCCAATGGGTCCTAGTCCAATCTAGTGAATCATGAACTATAAGCCCACTATTAAGAATGAATGATTTACAAATCAAACCAATATACTTAATTAGTATCCTTATGATCACAAAATTAATTCCAAATTAATTCTTGATCAATACTAATTAAATAATACTATTAATATATTATAACTTAGAATATATTAATAAACCATAAGTGTCCTTTTTCTCATTTGTTCTATCCAAAAATTGTTATGATGCCATGCAACCCAAATGGACCACGCCGGGTCAGGTTTAGTGTCTACCAAATATAATTATGGACTTATACATTATATCCAACAATAAGGTGTTATAATAAAAGGCCAAGATGAATATTGTTTTCCAAATGCTCCATGTGGTGCAAAACCATCCGTACTTAGGTCTAATTTTACATTACATACTTCTGCTGCAAATGAAGGATGAATTTTGTCAAAGTGCTTCCAAGATTCTGAATCGGATGGATGACACATTATTCCAGCATAATGTGCATGATTCTCAGAGTGCCATTGCATGGAAGCAGCTGTGGCTTTTGAAGCATACAGTCTCTTCAACCTTGGAGTCAAAGAAAAGTAATTCATTTTCTTAAAGGATACGCGAGAACATCTGGCCAAAAATTTTAACCGTTTATACCTATCTGCATTTCAGAATTTGCACCAGTAAAGATCTTTGTCTTGCTTCCAATATACCATACATCTAGACCTGCAACAGTCAATCATCTCCATAGGCAAACCTAGTGCTTGTATTAATATTTTGCTTTTGTGTAAACTACCTACAATTTTATTCACCTACGGTAACACATCATTTAACAACTGGCAGATAGTGTCATGACTTTGCTCAGGTATGTGATACTCTGATTTTATATTTAATAATCTAGCTACAATAGATAGTTGTGTCACTTTTTTATATCCATGCCACAATTCTTTATCGGCTGCATCTAGCATATCAAGTTTTTTTTTTATCTAGTGCATTTGGCTCCTCTTCAGGATTACTATTAATTAAATTAGGAGCCATTACATCTATGACCATTTCTCTATAAGAACATGCACCTTCACTAAAATTGGTGTTTGAATCATCCACCCGAAAAAACGTATTGTCATCATCAATTGATGTTTCGCCATGTTTATCCCAAAACCAATATTACTCAACAAAACCAAATTTGTACAAATGATGTTTAACAATATCAACTTCTATATACGGTATGTTATGACATTTGATGCAAGGGCATTTGATTTTATCTTCATCCATAAACCTATGTTTACTGGTAGCAAAATCTATAAATTTTTTCACTCCTTGTACGAAAACAAGGGATACACAACTACGATTATCTTTTCTTTCATACATCCACTTTCTACTTGGATTGTTCATTGTCTTTAATATTTAAAGTAACCTATAAATTTAAATAACACAATATTGTAAGTTCATTAGCGTTGAGTTGAATACATATATGACATTTGAAGTAAATTTATAGTTACCATACAAACATCGCAAAGGTACCTTAGTAGAATGGTTTAATTGAGACCGACACTTGCAGAACACATAGGCAAAAAAAGTGTGTATCGATTAGGAAACCTGCGGCAACCCTTGATTTCAATGTATTGGATGGATACTAGGTAAAATTATTGGGTTGATATTTTTCAATACCAGGTTAAACCCCATGTAGTATACGGGTAATGTGAAATTTAAATAACATTCGTAATAAATATAAATATAGAGCTACTTAAAATATAAATTCTATATATGATATTTTCCTTAATAACGACTTGAATAAACACTTACTTTTATTTCCACAGCAAAAATGGCGCCTTCACTATAGAGGTTGCAAATAGACCAAAGTGCCCTTGAAATTAAACCATGTATGTGATTCGTAAGGGTATTTCAGTCAAAACACATTATTCAAACAATATAACATATTATAGGTCACAGTGGACTTTTGGTTAGTAAAATAAAAAAGACAAAAATAAATGACATATTAAAAATAACACACATGCACACACATTTAATAAATTTAAAAGTATGTATTACATCAAAATACACATACAATATGCATCACTAATTGTGTGAATGAAACAAGTATCATATATATATATATATATATATATATATATATATATATATATATATATATATATATATATATATATATATATATATATATATATATATATACTCGAAACTAATGTCAAACGTCAAAGCAAACTCAACGAAACATGCATCCCACAAACAAATATCATAATTAAACAACCAACTGTATTGCTCCATAAAAGTTGTTCGGTAACTGCTCACAAAAGGATGATTCGCACAACTTCTATGTAAGCCATGGAACTTTATCTCATTTATTCTCCTTACCAAGTGGTTTTGAACCTTGTTACAGGTATGTCTTAGATTCCAACTTCTTCTAGTATTAACGTAGGCATTGTTTAATATGATCAGAGCTTCTTGCTTCCTTTCAATGCCTTCAGCTATCAACATCATTCCTAGAACGGAGATATCAAATAACTGCCCCTGATCGGCTACATTTTGAAGCAACTGTTTCCGTGCTATTTCTCCCCTATCGTCAAATACTTCGCCTGACATAAATTATGTAACCATACAATTTTAAAAATACAAATCAAGGTTGTAAAAATCGCTCGGTGGTCGACTGGCGATAACGATTAATCGGATTAGGCGGAGATTAATCGGGGACCCTTATTTATTAATAAAGTTATTTAAAAAATTAATATTCCCTAAAAGACTAAGTATTTGAAAATTAAAAAATTTAAAACATTAAAATTTTGAAAGTTTTAGTTTACTATTTTGTAAATTGAAAGCTTAAAAGTTTGAAATTTAATTTTTTAGTGTAATATTTGAAAATTAATTTTTTTTGAATTTTTAAAAAAATTCCCGCCTATGACTGTCGAGACCGCCAAGCCCGACTTGACCGATTTTGATCAATTTCCGCCAAGCACTCTAATCGTAATCGGATCAAGGCCGCCAAGTGATTAGTCGGTCGCCAAGGCCGATTTCTGCAACACTAATACAAATATAGAAGACTAATTGAATTCACAATTATCTGATTGCTTAAAAAAAGAGTACCATTCCATCGTTGAATAGTACGTGTGGGTTGTTCAACTTTCTGCATTTGCTTATGACTTCATAGTGTTGAACACTTAATGGACGAAACCTTAATCGATTTGTGTCTATTGTTTTCTATATTGTGTCTGATGTTACAGAGTCCCTAAAGAGTTTGCAACTATAATTCATATATTAAACACTAAATTAAGTATGTACACAAGTTTAATAGAAGTAATGAACATCATACTTACACTAACTAGCACTTAAAAACATCGATTGGTGAATTTCCCCCAACCGTAGTTACTATTTTTCGATCAAGTGCGATGGCAAAGCAGTGATTCTTGTTACTTGTCTTGTTTGCATTCTTCATGAATAACAACTCCTTTTCATTATGTTGAACTACATCAAGTGTAATCCAAGTTATGTAGCAAAAACGATTTTAGTGTTTATTGATCAACGTGGGAATTTTGAGTGTTGGTAATGGATTGTAGTTGATTGATCGGTGATTAACTAAAATGACAGGATGACTCTGACTACAAATTATGGCGCCTAAGTGTTTAGACTATGAATTTACATAATTGTCTTTGAACGAAAGAAGGTTACTACGTAGATGGTTAGCGTATTTTTGTAAATACCTACAGGCATTTTTGTAAATAAATTGAACGGTTTAAATTTAAAAAGTCGAAGTTAAATAAAATTATTGATTAAATTTAGAGAGACGAATTAAATAAAATTATTGACGTAAGTAGGATTCGAACCTGCGACTTCGGGTAAAGGGTAAGACGCGTTTTCCAACTAAACTAAATTAACTTCCGTTTCTTAAAATTGAAAAACCATAATATTATGCTCAATAATATTGCAGCCCATATGTCATCCATGGGTATACCATAGACACAATAAGCAACTACTATGTTGACCAATGACCCATATGACATCCATATGTGATCCTTGGACATCATAAGCAACTACCATGTTGACCAATGACCCATATGTCATCCATGGGTATACCATGGACACCATAAGCAACTACCGTGTTGACCAATGACCCATATGTCATCCATGAAACCATAAGCAACTACAATGTTGATACCCTATTTGTCACGAGGAGTCCTTTTTCTATTTAATGTCTAATGAAATGGTATTTTCTGTCAATGTGTTTGGATCTGCCGTGATCCCTTGGTTCCTTAGCTAAGCGAACCGCACTTTCGCTTTCATAGAAAATTTCCATTGGCTCTTTTATAGATGGTAGAACTCCAAGGTCTCCAATAAAGTTATTTAGCCATAACGCCTCCTTTGCTGCCTCTCTTGCTGCTATATACTCTGCTAATTCATGACAGTCTTAATTTAATACCTACTTCCAAAGTATGACTGACTGTGGAGAGTTTGAATAATATAATTATTCTAGAAGTCAAAACATGCAAAACTGAAACAATAGTAAGCGATTAACATAGGATAGTAACACTTTACTCATAAATAAATAACAACTTTTATTTAATCATCAAATGTTAATTACATTTTACAAGTTTTAGAAATAGCTATCTAATTATTAAAACTAATATCATCCTTCAGCCCGATGTGCCTCGCATGCTGTATATCCTTAACCCTACTCAGTCCGTTCGTGAGGGGATCTGTTGGGTTCTCATCTGATGATACCCTCTTTGCCATGATGAGTCCTTCTTCTATTCGATGTCTAATGAAATGGCACTTTCTGTCAATGTGTCTGGATCCCCCATGATCTGTTGGTTCCTTAGCTAAGGCAACCACACTTTCGGTTACATAGAAAATTTCAATTGGCTCTTTTACAGCTGGTATAATTACAAGTTATCCAATGAAGTTCTTTAGCCATATCGCCTCCTTTGCTGCCTCGCTTGCTTCTATATATCTATTCCGATTCGCAAGTTGAATCAGCTATTGTCTCCTGCTTGGAACTTTTCCAAGTAATTGCTCCTCCACTTAGTGTAAAGACCCAGCCTGACTGAGACCGGGAATTATCCCTATTAGTCTGAAAGCTAGCATCGCTATACCTTACCAATCTCAAGTCATCACTGCCACCGAGTGTAAGGATCTAGTCCTTAGTCCTCCGCAAATGCTTGAGAATATTCTTTACCGTAGTCCAGTGAGCCTTGCTAGGGTTCCCTTGATATCTACTGACCATGCTCAAAGCAAAAACTACATCAGGTCGAGTACAACTCATAGAATTAAAAAATTGAGCCCAGAGGGGAAGAATATGGTACATGACTCATCTCAGCTATCTTAGCCTCTGTACTCGGACTCTGAGTCTTACTCAGTTTGGTCTTATTCTGGATCGGTAAGTCCCTTTTCTTGGAATTCTGCATGTTGAGCCTCTTCAGCACCATATCCAAGTAAGTACTCTAACTAAGCCCAATTAGTCTCTTACTCCTATCTCTCAATATACTTATCCCTAGGATATATGTAGCTTCCCCAAGGTCCTTCATAGCGAAACACTTCCCAAGCCAGGACTTGACCTCCCGCAAGGTTGGGATGTCATTTCCTATGAGTAGTATGTCATCCACATAAAATACCAAAAAGCTAACTATGGTCCCACTAGCCTTGACATATACACAAGATTCATCATCGCTCCTCAAAAAGCCAAACTCTTTGACCTTCTCATTGAAACAAAGATTCCATCTGTGAGATGCTTGTTTCAACCCATAAATAGATTTCTCAAGCTTACACACTATATTTGGGTACTTTGCATCGACAAAACCCTCTGGACGAGCCATGTAAACATCCTCAGCCAACTTTCCATTATGGAAAGCGGTTTTGACCTCTATTTTCCATGTTTCATAATCATGAAATGCAACGATGGCTAACATAACCCTAATAGACTTAATATTCGCTACTGGTGAGAAGGTCTCATCATAGTCAACTCAAAGAGTTTGAGTAAAGCCCTTTGCAACTAGTCGGGCCTTATAAGTGTGTACCATTCCATCCATGTTGGTATTCTTCTTGAAGATCCACTTGCACCTGATTGTCTTACGACCCTGTTCATTGTCAACCAAGTTCCACACTTGATTGTCATACATGGCCTGAATCTCGCTGTCCATAGCCTCCTTCCATTTAGCAGACTTGGGGCCTGCAATGGCTTCCTTGTAGTTATTAGGTTCATCCAAATCTATTTGTGTACTATCACTGATAAATGTATCACCTTTAGTAGTGACATGATAACCATAATAAAAATCAGTTGTTTCCTTACCCTAGTGGAATGCCTCGGAAGTAGATACTCATCTATTGGCTCAACAGGAGTTTCCTCCTTAGGTTGATCGCTAGGGTTTGAGGTTCCTTCACCACTTGACTCTTGAAGCTCTTCAAGGTCAATTTGCCTCCCACTATTTCCTTGGCTTATAAATTCTCTCTATCGAAAGACTCCTCTCCTTTCCATAAACACCATATTCTCACTGGGTCTGTAGAAGAGGTAACCAAATGATTTTTGTGGGTAGCCGATGAAAATACACCTCTCACTTCGAGGTTAGGGATTGTTGTGAGTCTCGCGCCTCACGAAAGCTTTGCAACCCCAGATCTTGATGTGGTCTATATTGGGAACTTTCCCAGTCCACATCTCGTGAAGTGTTTTGGTAACCTTTTTAGTTGGGACTACATTTAGGATATGGGCGGCAGACTCTAAGGCATACCCCGAGAATGAGATAGGTAACGAAGTTCGATTCATCATGGAATGAACCATGTCCAACAAGGTTCAATTGCACCTCTCAACCACACCATTTAGTTGTGGTGTCCTAGGAGGTGTCAATTGTGAGATAATCCCACATTCTTTAAAATAGTTAAGGAACTCGATACTAACATACTCTCCTCCCCGATCGGATCAGAGTATCTTGATGTTCCTGCCCAGTAGATTCTCCACTTCCTGCTTAAACTCTTTGAACTTTTCAAAGGTTTCTGACTTATGCTTGATTAAGTAGATATAGGCATATCTACTATAATCATTAGTAAAAGTCACATAGTAGCGATTAGCACCCCTTGTGACGGTTTTGAAGGGTCCACACACATCTGTGTGTATGAGGTCCAACAAACCCTCACCCCTCTCACAAATGCTAGTGAAGGGTGACTTTGTCATTTTCCAAGTAAACAAGACTCACAACTATCATCTTGCTTTAGGTCAAATGATTCCAAAACTCCAGCCTTTTGGAGTTGGCCTATGTGCTTCTTGAAAACATATCCAAGACGACAATGCCACAAGGATGCTTTATCCAAGATATTTGAAGAATCAATATACAATACATTACTCCCTAGATTGTCTACAACGTTCATAGCTTCATATACAACATCACAAGGTAATGCTTTAAAGTAAAATACACCATTGTAATAAACATTAATATCATCATTATCATTATCAAATGAAAAGGAAAATCCTTGTTTGTACAAGACATGAAATGAAATAATATTTCTAGCCATTTCAAACGTGTAACAACATCTATTCAAATCTAAAGATAACCCATTATTTCGAAATAAAGAATAAACTCCTATCCTGGTAACAGGTGATGCTT